TTCAGGGATGTCTGGGTGACTCAGTTGGTTGAGCTTCAAGTCAGGTCAAGATCTCATAGTTCGTGAGTTTGAGCCCCCACATCGGGTTCGCTGCTGCGCAGAGTCTGCTTCCGATCGTCTGTTCCCCCTCTTTCTACCCCTCCCCCTCTCAAAAATAAACAAATATTTTAAAAATAAATAAATAAAGTGGAGTTTTCAGCATTGGCACATGGCTCTTCAGATTAGCAAAATAAGAATGTTTTAGAACATACTTCTGTTCACAATGTATATAAGGAGAAAATATCAGTGTTGTATATCAAAAAAAATATGGTAGGTGTTAGGAGGGGGGATGCTAATGCCCTTCAAATTACTAGTTGTGCTTACATGAGTACTTCCAATGCAGGGATGATCCGTCTCCCTGGAAGGTTTTTTTTCTGCTCAGGCTCCTCAGTCCATCCTAATTGAAACAGGAAGTCTCAACTCAGTGCTATCACCTAATGAGCCTTATTTCAACTTAGGCTTTAAGAAGAAAACTTATTTATTTAATATATCATTTGAATATATTTTAGGTATGAGATCTAAATGCAACCAGTGCAAAATTTAGATAGGATATAAATGAGACTATTGTGTTGATGGACCCTTTCACATGAAGTAAGTTAGAACCTATTTCCATAAGAAATAAAACAATTTCTATTCAGATAAAAAATTTTTGCAGATGGAAGTTATAACAGTATCTAATATTTCCAAAAATGAACACTGTAAGCCAATTCTAAAAATAATTCTACCACAGTCTCCATCTGTTACAATGCTCTGCTAAATTGTAGGATCCATACTTCTGTATCATAAATAAGCTATGGTAAGTACATTTTTCCTATGTAATTTTACTGTGGTCCACAAACTTAAGCTAACAATTTTCATATAATCCTAATGATGCTATAACTTACATAAATAACCATGATTTTAAATAACAAATAAATTAATTCATCAAAATGATAATAATGTATTTTCCATCACATTATATTCTTTAAAGGAAATACCCCCACAAAAGAGATAAATAAAGATAGTGGAACATAACAAAATAAATAATTAAGAGTTTAATCCAGGAGTTCTTAGGCATTATCCTAGTTTCACAATTGACTATATTACACTTCATGGAGAAAAAAATCTTCTTTAGGTTAAATAATAATAATTCTGTGTAACAAACCACCCCAAACATCAGTGGTTTCTATTGCAAACATTTCCCCCCCTCCTTGTTCACTGTGTACAGCGGTTTCCTTGGAGAAGCTCTGCTCCAGACTGTGATCTAGTTGGTTTGGCTGGGCTGCTCAGGGTTTGGTGCCAGTTAACCTGACTTTGCATAGGAGTCAAGTCCTTTTCAAGTGTGCTTAGGCGGAAGGGGTCAAAGCCACATGGAACATGCAGGTTTTATGGTAGATCAGAGGAGCAAAAGATATCAGCCCAAACTGCAAACTTCATTTATAATTTCTGCTCATACCACTTCTATACGTACATGAATGTGCAAATCAAATTACCTGGCTAAATGGAAAATAATACTCTCGGGAGAATGGATCCTTCTGGAAGAGGGAGGGGAGTGGACAATTGTAGAAAGGAAATTCACTCTGCTACAGTCTAACCTCTTGTTCATAACATCTGATTTTCTTGTGTATGCAAAATTTATAGGCATCTGCCCATGACACACTAAAAGGCTCATCTATTTACAGCAGTGGGCTGGACTTCCAGGATCTGTGGTCATCTACAATGTGAATTTAGCTTTTTCTTTTCTTTTCTTTTTCTTTTCTTTTCTTTTCTTCTCTTTTCTTTTTCTTTTCTTCTTTTCTTTTCTTTTCTTTTTTCTTTTCTTTTCTCTTCTCTTCTTTTGTACAGACACCTATGAACTAAAAATACACTAAACAATAGAGACAAGAAGAGGGGTGGAATAAATGGAAGATTGTAACAGGTGAAAATAGAAAGAGCTGAGCCTCAGAGAACTCAGTGGTCTCTAGCAACTATGAAACGTTGCTGGGTGGATGTTTCCAGTTCCTTCTTCCCTGTGTTTAGAGACTGTACTAGCTTAGGTTTCTTTTTTCATGTTTAAAAGCAGTTGGCTAGTTCAATAATATTTAGTCTTTGGCTCCACTTTCTAGGAGCCACTTCCTTTTCCAAGATCTTCTTTAGCCATGACTGAGGAGGAAATTGGGGAACTGAGTAACTAATGAAGTGGGGATAATGAATTGATATGAATGTTGAAGTACTGGCTTTCTTTTCATGCATTGTGAGTCCAGTTAAATGATTGAGTGATAATAATCTTGTCCTTTTTTGTACTCTTGCATCTCATTCCAAGGGAAGTATATTCTCCTGATGTGGTTTTTTTTTTTTTTTTGATATTTGGGTAAGTGATTTGCTGATTTCCTAACTAGATATTGGCCCAAATAATGCATGTTATTTAATTTAAGTGGTTGGTTGATACAACAAAAATATTTGAATATAATTTTTGTAAAATTATTTACTGGATTTTCATAAAGGAATTTTGAATATATATGAAACATTTCATGGTTTTCTTATTGTAAAATAACTTTTGTAAATACACTTTTTAATAGCAATACAACTTTGTAACACTGTTGTTATGTTTTATAAGTTTAATATGCAGTCATATAAAATGCATACATGTGATGTTGCATAGTAAATGACATCGTGTAATATTATTTTTCTAAATATCTCATTAAATTGGAAGGACCATTATACATTGCTAATGTTTCCTTTCTTATCCAATTCAAGAAAATGTTGAACATTTGCCAAATATATGCTTGCAATTATTATCAAGGACTCCTGCAACACGGTCAAATGTCCACAGTAGAAGCTTAAAATAATTTCACAAAAATTTGTTAATATGATTAATGTCATGTGATTAATATGCAAATAGAATAAAATTTATGATTACAAAAACTGATATAGCGCTCTTGTTTTTATAATATGTACTTTTATTTATTGCTATTAACTATAGTAAAATTTTAAATTTTAGTTTGTTTTCTACTATTTCATATGTTCTCAGTTTATTATCTATTGGAATACAGACAACTTACTTCTATTAACCAGCCATAAGTCAATAAAGAGCTATTAACCAAATGTAGGAGTTAAAATAATCAATACATTTAACTCAAACAAATGTTTAGCCATTATTTATAAGTTATTAAAGATTGATTTAAATTTGCATAGAAGCATTATTTATCAATATTTGTAAAATAGGTTAGCCACCACACCAGGTTTTTTTGTGTTGTATATATCAAATTGTTTTTTTTAAATGTTTTTAATGTTTATTTCTGAGACAGAGAGAGACACAGAGCATGAGTGGGGGAGGGACAGAGAGAGAGGGAGACACAGAATCAGAAGCAGGCTCCAGGCTCTGAGCTGTCAGCACAGAGCCTGATGCGGGGCTCAAACTCACAAACCGTGAGATCATGACCTGAGCTGACGTTGGTTGCTCAAGCGCCCCGCATATATTAAATTGTAATCACACACACACACACACACACACACACACACACACACACGATAGTAATTTGTTGAACATCTCAAAGTATTGTCATTTTCTACATAAAAGCTGATGATGCTTTGGTATGAAATAGCTTATAAAATCTATAGCCTACAAAATGTATAAAGGGACTAAACAGGTGAAAATGTTTTGTTACCAAAAGATTTGTTACCAGGTAACAAGGTTAATCAACAAAATAAATGAAGTATTTATACATCATTTATTTTTCTACATGGTAATAACAGCAGATAAGTAATAGCTGATGCATACTTCAATTGCACTGATTCAGGAAATATTTTAAAATATTTTTTATGTATCAGAATGGATATCTATACTAGTATCTATCTATCAATCTATCAATTAAGATTACATTTGGCTTCATATAACAGAGAAACCTGACCAAAAGAAAAAAAATGGCTTAAATAAGCCTATAAGTCAGAAGTTTATTTATTTCATGCACCAAGATGTTTTGAGTCTGCAGCTCAGGTTTGGTGGAAAGAACATAAAGGTCATTCAGGACTTAGACTCCTCTCTCTCCTTTAGTTTGTGGCTTTTATCCTCATTGCAGCAGTAAGAGTAATGATAGATGATGTGTAACAAGTCTCTCTCTATATTAGCGTCTTTAATGTGGTAAAATTTCATTTCCTACTCTTCTAAAGTCTCATGCCCTACCTTAAAATTTAACAAAACATGGTTAAATTATTAGTATAACATTTGACTTTTTAAAGAAAAAGTATCATGCCTTACTTATCTTTATAGATCACCATTTATCACGGTGCTTAAGAAATTGTATATGCGCAAAAATGAGTGTTGGACTACACTACTATGGTAACAGTAACTGTGTTGTGTGTTTCTTACGCTTCTTCTTATGCACCATTGCCTACACATAGCAGAAAAGCATGAGGGCCAGAGCACTGAACGCAATCATTTTGTGATCTATTAATACTTCTGAATTCTTTAGAAACCTATTCCCTGTAACTTGTAATGAAAATGGGCTTAAAGTGACACAAAAAGGCAGAGGGAAAGAAAAGGGAATTTTTTTTCCTGTTTTGACAAATTTCAAATATACCTTTTAGGTGCTATGTTTTCCTCACAAGATTCAAGCTCGGGGAGAAAAAAGTAAAAGAACAATTTGAAAAAAGAACTTGTTACAATAAGGAAAAAAATACTAATTGAATGTTCTTTAACAGATTAACTTAATAATATACATTTACTTCTTATGTGCTCACATGAGTGTGTGTGTGTGTAAGAGAGAGATATTATACAGTTCCCCGGTATGATTGGTAGTGAACAACATCTGGGAACACTAATAAAAACACCTGGTTTTACCTTTGTATTTAAAGTAGAAAATTCTTGGAATTGCAGAAATTCATTGCTTTTCTGCTAAATCATTAGGTATCAAATGTGGTGGACATAAATGCATAAATAGTGGATTCTATTGTTCTAGGACATTCAAACTATGTAACTGATTTTTTTTTTTCGTTCATTTCAGGCATATTGACATAGGCATCGAAAAAACCACAAACTAATTCTTTTCCAGTGTCCTCAACTACCTCCATCTTTACTTCATGAAATGATTAAATATTGTAAATAAATACCTTTCTTCTCTATCAAAATTAAAATTCTAGAAGATTTCCTCTAAGCCATTAATGTGAATAACACTAATAGAGTTATTTGTACATCATTTGTGTGTTATTAGAAATAATGTCAGGTTATGTATCTCAAATATTTATTTAGCTAAAATTTTCTTAACCTTTATTCATTTTTGAGAGACAGAGAGAGGGCATGAGCCAGGGAGGGGCAGCAAGAGAGGAGACACAGAATCCGAAGCAGGCTCCAGGCTCCCAGCTTTAAGCACAGAGCCCATCGCCGAGTTTGAACCCAAGAACTATGAGATCATGACCTGAACCAAAGTTGTACCCTTAACCGGCTGAACCATCCAGGAGCCCCTTGAATGTTTATTTATATGAAGACATGATCTTTTGATTTTCACTTTGCTCACTAGTGTATAGTATACATTTGAATATGAAGGTGAAAAAGAATACATTTAATATATTGTTTAATTATTTTTTTTACTACTAAACCTACACGTTGAATTCTTTATTTAATATTGGAAATAAATTGTGTGTGTTTACTCTTTTTAGTATTTAAATAGAAATCTAAGGCATACCATCTTGAAAATGTTTATTTTTGGAGGAATCCTTTGATAAGACTAATTTACCCTTAACACATATGGAAATAATTGCAAACTTTGAATATTTGCATATTGTTGATGATATTAAATTATAACTATATATATTACTCTATGTAGTTCTCCCTAGCAGATAATATGACTCATTATTTTTTCCTCCTGTTTTTAATACCAAACAATAAACAGAAAATATTTCAAGGCTTTCAAAACCAGACATATTTAATAATTTGGACTGGAAACAAAACCATATCACAAAATCTACTGCAAAAAAAGAATCATCCTAGAGTAAATACATTTTAAAAGAAATGACAAATTTAAAACTTATTTAACCTAGATTGATAATTAATGAAATCCAGACATTGTCACCATTATGATGCTATTGGCCCTATTATATATTTTTTTAAGTTTTATTTATTAATTTTGAGAGAGAGTGTGTACACATGTGGAAGGGAGGAGGGGAAGAGAGAGAGAGAGAGAGAGAGAGAGAATTCTAAGCAGACTCTACACTGTCAGCTCATTATTGGCTCTATTTTAAAATAAATGAGTTAGTCACACAACTTTTAATCCAGCATATAGATTTTATGTGAGGTGAACTATTATAAAATAAGTAAAAATTATACTTATATATGAATATATATACATGACATGTTTAATTAATATACATTAATATTAATAAACATATGAATGAATAACTCATAGGATTTGCTGGAATTGAATTGAAAAGATTGAGCATCTTCTAAACCATCTTTATTTAAACTGCAGGAATTCTGTACACCAGTTTTGGAAATCAGAGGAATATTTCCATTCAGGATCAGAACAGCTATTTTAATTTCATGTTCACAAGTTTGTTAAGTGTATCCATTCTTGATTAGACCATTTTCTCAAGTCAACATTCAGGTAATTCACAATTTGTTTCAAACTTATTTTAGAAACACATATTGCTTTGCATTAAATTGGTACACTGATCTCAGTTTTCAGAAATTGAACTTTGATCATGAGGCTATGTGTTAGTATAAAGATTTTGCTACCCAAAATATGCATTTATTTGTGTATATGGGATGATATGTGTACCTACTGAAAATACAAATATTGCGGATATTCATTTCTTAAACAGTCATTCTAATCTTCTAGGAAGTAGGGAGGAAATTTTTTTGTTAGCCATCCTTTATTAGCACCCAAGGATTGCAAAGTTCCAAATGAACTGCCTTGAGGATGTATAAATTGGAAAGCAACTATTCAAGATTAGGACTGCCTAAATGGGATAATAATAATGAGGAACTTGGTTTTTAGAGGCCATAGACCTGAATCGGAGTCTGAATGTGAAAAGTATGGTAGTTATGGACAAAGGAGGTTTTGGACAAAGGAGGTTACCTCTCTGAATCTCAGTGTCCTCATTTTTGAGTGGGTGGGGATCATAATAATGGCTAAGATTATTTGTGTGTCAGATTGTTCTACATTAGCTACTTTATTCTTATAATAACTTAGGGGCTTTGCACTATTTTCCCCCATTTATAGAGATTTCTGAAGATAAAAGATGAAATATAAATAGTCCAGGCTTGGTGTTACCCAAGTTATAAACAGCAGAGCAGTAAAACAATCATGAACAATTCGTTCTAGAGCCCAAAATTGTAACCAGTACATTGTTTTTTTTATAAGTCTCTTAACGAGGATTAAATTAGAGCATATGCTTGTAAAATGCAGAATGAAATTCCTGATACATAGTAAAATCTCAAGAGTTATCCATTATTTTTGCTCTTAATATATTATTAATTTGCTTTCATTGACTATGAATAATTTTAGCATAAATCCACTTAGTCTATTTGATTGAGTAGAATAAACAAATGTCAGTTAAAACAAGGAAGCGTAAATCATCCCTTAAATATAAAATTGTAAATTAAAACATGTTATCACAAATTTATTAAAAACATGTTTATGTAGAGTCATGAACTTTTCATTCAACTATTTATCTATTTTAATCATATTAATTATATTTTAGTATTACATTTTATATGTATTAGAGTCATGAAATCATAGTTAAAAAAAGATATTCTAGTCTTTCTCTTTTTTTCACCTTCTGGGCATTATTTTGCTCCTCTGGCTATTATTCTCTTGGCTGAAGCAACATTTATGTTTAACTTCAAATAAAAATGTAAACTATCATATTCACATGAGGAATTATGCAGATAAATGCAGATTATTGTTTAAAAACCTTCAGTTTACCACAGTCCTACTGATGGTTTTGAAATGGTGTCCCTAGAAATAGTGAAGGTTGGTATTTTCTTAATATTTAATCAACTTTAAAAAATATTTCTACTTATTCATAAACGATATGTATATGGAATTCTTTCAAATGAGAGGCTATTTTGACTGCATAACTAATTAAGTAAATACTTTCAAAGTGATACTAAATAGTGACCGTTCCTTCTTTTCTAGATACAAAGGAGAGAAGTAACACCACGGACTACATGTTAATTACTCCAACAAACTCATTATATCCAGTGCTTGCACACAAGCAAAAATTATCTGCCATCCTCTCTCCTTGCATTCATCTGTCTTTCCTTATCTGTGTTCTTTTTTTTTTGTCCTCTTGCCATTTGGTGGCATATTCATTTTTCAATCACTTTACCTTGGCATCACTGACAAACCTTACTCTTTTTATTTTCTCCCACATCCAGGCTGTTCATCCAACACATTTCAAAATTTTGTTATTTCTTCCTGTTCCTGTCTTTAAAAGCTGTCACTTCCTTTCTGTTCCTGAAGACAAAAATCCCCATCCTAGCATTTTTATGTACAACAGCGTGTCCTCTTCTCAAAATTTATTCCGTGGTTAAACCACATAAATTGGCAAATAATGTTCCTATTTTCCATTCAAGGTGATTACACATTTTACATTAAGCTGCTTGCAAGTTACTTCTGACATTACTGCAGTTGAACTCATTTTTGACTTACCCTGGGACTTCCCATTCAGACTTTTCGAATAGAATCTCCTGCCCACTTTGCTTCTCCACATCGTTTTCTATGCCAGTCACAATTCATTTATAATTGTCATACTTGTGGGATAAAGAAGTCTCCGACTTTATAACTTTGTATAAATCAGCATAGAGTAGGACATGTGGTATGAAACAGCCTTTGAGTCTCAGTGGCTGACGACAAGACAGGACAATTTTCTCTCAGTGCCAATTTCAGGTTGACTACTGTCTGAGTAATAGTTGTATGATGTCTTCTCTTTGGGTGCAAGGCTAATGGAGTAGCCTCGGTTTAGAACATTGCAAGTTTGTGGGAGCAGGACATAGGAACCATGTCCTGGCTTTTTAAATATCTGCCTTAGCTGACAAAGACCACTTCTGTTTACACATTGCTGAAAATAAGTCACATGACAGCGCTCGAGTTCAGAGGCACAGACACCGTGCCTTTGAGGCAAGGGCCCCAATGTGTTTGGCCAATAGCAATGTGATTTGCCTCAACCTCACAATCACCACCACTGCTTCCGAACTTATATATACATTTGGATGAAGAAAATTCAGTTGATTTAGAAATAGGAAAAACATAGTTTATCATCATTCCTCTGAAATTAGGTTGTCAGTTTGAAACAAATCTCTGTCACATTGTAAGTCTGAGGGGCAGAGGCAGGGCAAAATATACCTCGGAAATATGAGCTCCAGAAGGACTTATCAGAATGATAAGAGGCTATAGCAGCTCCTTCTGTACAGTTGCACACACAAGCACTTTTGTCAATTATTTTTATTCAAATATAAGGGCCAGTGATGTAGTGTGTGAATGTCACAGTTTAAAAGAATAAGTGGATGAAAAGAACCAATTAGGAAATGCATTAGGCAGGGCGCCATTGTGGGAGAAAATGTTGACTAAGTTCAGGACCCTTGTCTGAGACATAAGAGAGAATGCACTCCAAAGATTTGTGACTCGCTAGTGAATTTGAATACCATCAAGGTGAAAGTCCTCCTTTTAACTAAACATGTAATTACAGTTGGATTTACTAATTGATTTTTATTGCTATGAAGTCTTTTTGACTCTATAATTATTTTAAGTAGATTATGAAAATACTTTTAATTTTAGTATACTCTCCAAAAATATTCAGTTCATTGAATACGTCAGTTAATTGTTTAAAAAGTTTGGTGAATTACATTAATTCCTTTTCTTGTTTGCAGCTAGATGATGGTATCAACCAACCATAAGGTCTCCATGCTATGGATGATCTTAGAAATAATAAAATCCAGGTTCACAACTAATGTGGAAATTGTCTTCGCTGTGAACTAGTAGCTACTCTTTCTCTTTGTAAGTCTCTCTTAGGGAGCTTGATATACATCACTTGACAGCTTATTATATTGTAAACTCTCCTACTTTTTAGGCAAGTCTTCCGTCATGTTTACTTAAAGTTCATTTTAAAACTTCTAGTCTCTTATCACAGTTCTACCCACGGAGACTAAAACAGATCTATTTTGTCTTTTATGTTATATAACTTCAAACATTTACAAACTTCTATGGATTCTTTTGTACCTTTTCCTTACTTTTCCAGAATATATAACTCAATATCTCTGATATCTTCTGATATGGCAAAATTTATAGAACCCTTAGTAAGCTGATCAAATTCTTCAGGACTCTTATTCACTGAAGAAATATTTATTGTCTGTGTACCTTATACTATCAGAAATTGTGCTGATAAAATGTTGATCACTCTAAAACAGGTTTTACTCTTATGAAACTTACTGTTTAGTTGGTAGACAGATAATAAGATATAATCACAGAAGTTCACATACAGTTACAAGCATGATACATTATCTGAAGGGAGATTACTGTATGCTTTCTTAGTACCTTACGTGGCACAAACTCTCTTACATTAGATGTTACACTATGTCTTATCTGTTTGGCTTGCACATTATATTTTCTCTGTCACATCCTAAGCTGTATTAACTCTATTTGCAGTAGCATTAAAATAAGGGCAAGATACTGTTCAATAATATATGATTGCAGTTTTTAAATATGTTATGATATAGAGAACTTTCAATGAACTTTTTAATTCTACTTCCAATTCATATTTGCCATATTATTACCTATTTTAAAAAACTTTAAAGAAAAACCTACCTCGCAAGACACAAATTCCCGCCCCCCACCCCCGCTGGGGTTTCTTGTATTTAGTTGGAATTATTTAGATAGAATTTTAAGTTAAATTTTAAGCCTAGGTATAATGCAGTGTGGAAAGGGAATAAGGTGTTGTTTGGGTTGACCTTAGAAATCTATGGAAGGTGTCAGGTTGGATCACAAGAGACAATTGCTATTTGTTCCTCCTTGCTAAGGGTTGACAATAAGCCAGAGTGCAATGACTTATTGTTTTCACCCAGCCAAGAAGTAAAAGTCTCATTTTATTCTTTTTACAACTTAGTAATCATAGGATGCTCAGGAAAAGCCTAAGGTAGAAAATGTATTGAACTAGATAGAACTTAGCAATTTAAGGAAAACTGCTGTTCTTGTCCTGTAAAAATGAAAGAGATGATTGAAATTTAAGACATTAGGAGGTAAAAGAAATTGAATTCTCAAGATTAATTTTTTAAAGGACCCAAGGAGTTAGTTCTGTTTTTTTTTCTTTTTTAAAGAAAAGTTGCAGTTGTAACTTGCTATGAGAAAATGAAGTCTTCAAATTCCATCACATAAGGAGAAAAACTCCAGTATTTTATCTAGATAATTTACGTACAGGCAAGGTCCATTGGAGATAGTTTTCTAAAATTTGTCACTTATGGGGACAGCAAAGGAAATACAAATGTTTCTTAGATTAATACAATTTCAGAGTAAGGATATTAGGAGTCTAATTTAAAGGACACATTTTTGAATGAAATGCCATGATGTTAATTAATGTTTACTAATAGGATAGTAGTTTTATTTGATCAGTTTTCTAAAATCTGAAAGAAATACTTTATTTACATAAAATATTAAAATACAAAATACAAAATATCAAATAAAATAAAAAGTTGATGCATTTTCTTATTTAGAATAAATGTTGGAACAATGCAAATATGACAATGGCAAAAAAGATGGTCAGGAAAAACTGTGACTAGCTGTATAAAGTCTCCTTTTTTCATTCATACCCAAGCTTCATGCTAAAGCCACTGAACTGAAGTCAAATACGTTTCCCTGAGTGTGTCTGTTTCTCAGGTAAACAGAGGTGTTGGTTTATCATCAGTTTCTGTATGTGTTCCCCTAAAGTAGCCCCCAGTTCGCTTACAAATCAATTTTTAAAATACCTGCGGCTTTGCCTTCCTTAACAGTCCTTTTGTTCATTTTTTCTCAGAATGCTATATGGGCCTGTCTTGCAATTGATCCTGGATTTGAAACTGACAGCTGTGAACTAGCAGGAAAATGATGTGGCAAGAGTTGCCATTCCTGAAGAGAATTCAAAGAAGTTCTATTTGGGCAGACTGTGCTCACTCATAGAACACAAATTTTTGTCTTCCGAGTCCCTTTGGGCCATATGGACTTCAAAGTGCAATATATATACACACATACATCTGTATGTACATATATCCATGTACATATAGAAATATACATATATAGTATTAGATTTATAAATATAATATAAAATAAATATAATTTACTTTTATGTAATTATATTATTTAGAAATTTATTTATGTTATTTACTTAAGGTACTTATCTATTTTTATATTTTTATATATAATGCAAAAAAAGGTGTTGCAGTATACATCATACAAATATTATGTAACACTCTAAATTGCTTCTGGGCAGTACCCTCTAGTCAAATCCATGAATATTTCTTTACCCAAATTATATAGCAGTCACACTAAGAGAGATACATAACAATTATGAAGCATATTATGGCCATTCATGGTCTGTTTAGAGATGAGGTAAGTATTTTGAAAATATTGGGTTTTTCAGGCATTTTATATTTTATTTGTATGATAAGCCTGTGTTCACAAAATATTTATTATTTTTTAAAAATATTTATTCTGAATCTAATGTCTTCCAGGTAACCTGTTAGGCATGGAGAAAAAAAAATGTCAGGGAGTAAGAAATATAAGGCTAAGTTTTTGGTTTCACACAAGTTTCAAGAAATCTGAGATTCCAAGTTACTTATGCCAGAAAGGATTGTCTTCAGGTGCTCCATGAGAGGAGGCCTTGAGGCCATCAGGTACAGGAATCTGCTCCATTGCCTCCCATGCCACCATAGAAACACTAATTGGCACTTACTTCACAGCACTGGAAATATTTTTATTCATGCTGTCTCGTTTTACTAGACTGTGAAGTCCCAAAAGCAGGAGTCCTATTTTACTCATATTTTTACTCCTTGTACCCAGCCTGTCGTCTGGAATATGAGAAGCACTAAATATATACTTAGTAATAAGTACAATGAAATGATTTTCACTCAAATGTTGGGAAAATAACCAAAACACTTAGTGATTCTCAATGTTATTGTCCAGATTATATTAAAGCTTCTCTTCAGTCCATCAGAGAATGTTTATCAAGAACATATAAATTCATTACATGCAAATGTGGGAAGCAAATCTGAGTCCTGATCCTGGTTTCCAGTACTTGATATGTCTTTAGGTGGGAACATAATGTGAATGCAAAGTGAATGCAGGCACAAAAAAATTAAAGTAAAAAGCACAACATACTTGTTACATAGATATTCATCAACAAAATATTGAAGATTTAATTTGAATGAATGAGTATTTGCTGAAGAAATGGCATTTATTATTCTCGGTTGCTACTTTCCTTATCCTTTAAATGAAAACAAAATAATGGCAACCCTATACCATCACTCTGTACAATTATTTGAAAAGCAAAATCATTTATTTAATACAGTAGCTCAGGAAAGGAAGGAAACACATGTTGAAAAAAACTAACGAAAAAAGGTGCATTGGCATATGTTGAGAGAATGGAAAGGGCATTTCAGGAAGAGGAATAGCCTTTTTAAGGATGCAAATTAATGTTGTCTACAAGAGGTACAGTGATAATTAAATATACATAGATGGGTTTGGGAAGGCTAAACCGTGAAAGCATAGTGCTAATGCCTAGGCATGAGTATTAAGGGAGGAGTACAGTTAAAAATTAGATCTACTTGTTGTGTTCCATTCTTATTTTATTGATTCAATTTGATGGGACCATTTTCTTCAACCCAGTAAAACGTGTTTTCAAAACTAATATCCATAATCATGTTGAAAATGTACCACATTTCACTGGGCAATAACCATGCTGATATGGATTACTATATATTTACAGATTTTGAATCATAACATAAAACTTATTTGCAAGAGTTTCAGCAAAATTAGCTTTCAGGAGAGGGGGGTTCAGAACCAGACAGGACTGGAAACATGATTAAGAATTCAGAAGTTGCCTGTGGGGAATTTAGGGAATTCAAAAGCTTGGTTATATCTGCTTAGGAGAAGAATTGTGATACTCAGGCCTGTGTCCCCATCTTGGTTTCAGGAGATTTTCCTAATTACAAAGGCTCTCCAGGTAGAGTAGTACTGTAGACCACAGGCTTTGAGAGAAGGAGGCAAGCACTGATTAACAGAAGCCCAGTGGTGTGCCTGGGTGGCTCAGTCGGTTGGGCATCCGACTTCAGCTAGGGTCATGATCTTGCAGTTTGTGAGTTTGAGCCCCATGTCGGGCTCTGTGCTGACAGTTCAGAGTCTGGAGCCTGCTTCCGATTCTGTATCTCCCTCTCTCTTCCCCTTCCCTGCTTGCTCTCTGTCTCTGTCTCTCTCTCAAAAATAATAAACTTTTTTTTTTAACGTTTATTTATTTTTGAGACAGAGAGAGACAGAGCATGAACAGGGGAGGGTCAGAGAGAGGGAGACACAGAATATGAAACAGGCTCCAGGCTCTGAGCTGTCAGCACAGAGCCCGAAGGCGCGGGGCTCGAACTCACAGACCGCGAGATGGTGACCTGAGCCAAAGTCAGCCGCTTAACCGACTGAGCCACCCAGGCGCCCCATAATAAACATTTTTAAAAAAGAAAAAAAATACAGTTATTAGAACAGTAATAGCCCCGACATTGGGAAGAAAATTGTGCCTGTAGTATGACTGAAAAACTTCACTTGGAAAGTCTTAGATGTAAATTGAGGAGGATCTGGTGAAGAAGTATCAATTCAAATGCAAAGAAGATAACCCCTTGTGTGAAAACACAGAAGAGTAGCAACCCAAGGATTACATAAAGGTGAATCCCTCTGGTTTCAACATGAAAACCAAAAGAAAATTCTTTTTTCTTTGTAGTCATGCTCATATTTCCTTACTTTCTTTTAACTATGAAAAAGTCCTATACTGATGGTCATTTAATTGTTTAGGTGCCCAAACATCATAGCAATTGTTTTTACTTACGGTATTTTGTTTCCCTATCTGATCTCAGCATGCTGCACAGTAGGTTACACAAAAGACTGCAGCACCATGGGATAAGATAGCCTTGGGATGATGGGCTTCTGTTAATTTTTTTTTAACATTTATTATTGACAGAGAGAGACAGAGCATGAGCATGGGAAGGGCCGAGAGACAGGGAGACTCAGTATCCGAAGCAGGCTCCAGGCTCCAAGCTGTCAGCACAGAACCGGATGCGGGGCTCGAACTCACAAACCACAAAATCATGACCTGAGCTGTAGTCGGCCGCCCAACCAACTGAGCCACCCAGGTGCCCCTGTATTTTTTTTCTTTAATCTAGGACTTTAAACTTTCTCACTTTCCCTTGGTTACTAAGAGAGAAAACTGATGTTTAAGCATGCAAATAATTTTGGGTCATCTAAAGAGTATGTGACATTATACATTGCCTAAGAAAATTTTTCTAATACACATAAAAATATAAATTGTAGGGGTGCCTGGGTGGTTCAGTCAGTTAAGCATCTGACTCTTGGTTTTAGCTCAGGTCGGGATCTTATGGTCCTGAGATGGAGCCCTAAACTTGGGTCTTGCTCAGCATGGAGCCTGCTTGGGATACTCTCTCTGTCCCCCTCCCTTTGTCTCCCTATCTCTTTCTCTCTTTATGCCACTCCTCCGCTCATCCTGCTCTGTCTGTCTGTTTCTCTCAAAATAAATAAACATTAAAAAAATTAAATATATATATATATGTATATATATATAGTAGATAATCAACATGAAAAAAGAGAAGTCAGCAAAAAACATATTTGGGAAATCTTCAAGACCAGGAACACTTATTGGCCTTACTTCTATGTAAGCAAATTATTCGTCTTAATCATTTTCATGTAAAGAAACAGCTTGGGAGGAAAGTGAGTACTAAGAACAGCTGGGAATCAGTAATGAGGAAACAAATCTGGGCTTAGAATGTCTTGCAAGGTGGCTGAATTAGGCAACATAATTTTAACACTTGATATAAATATCCACATTATTTCACTAAATATATTTTTTTCTGGGATCATTTTTGTCCCTGCCCACCTCCATTAGTGGATATACCATCACCACCGGGCTTTTCAAACCACAAAATCAGTTTTTGATTCTTTTTTTAAATGTTCATTTATTTTTGAGAGAGAGAGTAAGTGGGAGAGGGGCAGAGAGAGAGGGAGACAGAGGATCCAAAGCAGGCTCTGCACTGTCAGTGCACAGTTAATTGTGGGGCTTGAGCTCACAAACCATTAGACCATGACCTGAGCTGAAATCAGACCCTTAAATGAATGAGCCACCTGGACACCCCTGTTTATGATTCTTTCAAGTCTGTTTCCTTATTTATGTTTTGAGTAAAAAAGGAAGTAGTGCTAGGAGGACAGGATGAAAGCTGACCCTGATAGAAACAAAATGAAATTTGCTTCTCTTGTCACTCCATCTGTCCCTTTATTCCTTTCTTTATTTATTATTAACCCTTTTGCCCTCATTAATTTACAGCCCGAACTCAAGGTGCCTTTTGGCTGATTGTAATCTCTTCACTCTGCTTCAAGTAGGGTTATTTGGCTTCACATGGACCCACATTATAAAATTTTTTTTCTGACAATACCTGTGTAGCTAACTTTAATAATTTCTTGAGAGGATATTAAGAAAAATGGAGTAGATTAGATAAATTTCTTTATTTTCTTATTTTGTGCTAGATGTCCTTGTAGTGAGAGCCACATTTTAATATGCCATAAATATTACTGAATACTTGATTATTTCATGTTTGCAGTATCATCTGTTATACTCAATCTATATAATTTACTTGAGTTTTATCACATGTTTATCTACTTATCCTGTAGGTGTTCAAACTCAGAAAACAAAGAAAGGCAGAAAGAGTGGAATGAATATTCTTATTAGTAGTCATTATTGGGACTTTTGGTCTCAGTAGATAGTTGTAAGTGTTCAAACTAAATAAATTCAATACCTATTTAATACTTAATTTGTAGAAAACACTGCATAGTAAAGAGTTTAAAAATGGAATAATTGCTTTTCTCAAAGGAGTTTAAATCTGTAGCAAGAAGGCAAGAGCGCCCAGCTCTGGGTCCCTAACAGACCACATTCAGTCACTGATCATTGACAAAATCCAAAGGCAGAGAAAGGGGTGGTGGTGAAA